CCCCTAGCCCCTCGACAAGACCGGTCAGGCCCGCCCCAGCCTATCTCCCGCCACCCCCCCGCCTCTAGTACCCGTGCGCCACCACCCCTAGCCCCTCGAAAAAACCGGTCAGGCCCGCCCCAGCCTACCTCCCGCCACCCCCACTCCTCTGATACCCCTGCGCAACCAACCCTTTTTATGGTCTTCGGAGCCCTTTTTAAGGTCTTCGCGCTGGCCATGGCCGTGTTTCTCGTACTCGTGCTTCTCGCCGGTATGGCCAGCAGTCCCAGCAGTCCCTAGGGAGTGGATATCGTTCATATAAATTCGTACATTGTTTAGGCGTTTCGGAGTACTGGGATTCATTTCCTCGCCAGGCTCGGCCCAAACACGTTTTCATTGTAAAGTTTTAGCATAAGTTAGATCGATATGGTCAAGCCGCATTATGGGGCTGAAAGAGTTTTTGTATGAATAGCAACTCAGCGCTACATTACCGGTATTTTACCGGTATATCAGAAACACTGACCCCCGACATCACGTGCAGTGAAGTATCACCAGCAAATCCATCCTCCCGCGCCCGGTAAAATGCAGGGGGGGGCGAATCGCCAGGTTAGCTTCTCTAATATTCCCATTCCCTCTTCCGGGGTTTAGTTTGTGTTTAGTGCGGTGCTTAGAGGACCTTCACCTTCCGTCATTCACAAAACCTCACCAGTGACGGCACCATTATACGAGCAGGGCACAGCCATACCCGACCACCGTAAATCAAAGAGAACCACGTCCTGATAAAAAAACTCCCCTACAGGCCCGCTTCCTCACTCACTCGTCACAAATTGATATGCCCGCGCCGGAGATCATTATAGTCCATAGTAGAAATCGTTAAGGAAACAATCCTAACCGCTAGCACCGTATAGTACCTTAGCACCCGACACCTCAAGAGTCAATATGATTAACTGGGACTCAAGAACCAAGTCCCCGGCGGGACTGGGTACTGCAGCGGTACCCGGGAATATGGTGCCCACTGCATCGCGACGGCGGGTTGTCGGTGTTGGAAGGGAAAATCGTTCGGTGGGGAGAGAAGGGTGGCAGTGGGTGTTGGAAGCTCTATCGTAGATGCACTCGGTCAGTTCTGCAACAACTCTGTTTTTCTCCACACCTGAGCTTCGCTGTTCTCAACTTGCCCCCCCTCCCCCCCCCCGAGTCGAAAGAGAGACCGCATAATTACCTGAAGGGCGCCAGTGTTGATAGTATCGGTGATTTGCTATGCGCGATAAAGTTATGGGGAAAAGTCCAAGCTAAGTTGTTGCTGGGATGTTGCCCATGTTCGCGCGAGAAACTAGCTCTACTACCAGTTTCTGTGCTCGCGGATTGTTGATGAGACTTTTGGTGGGGTTAGTGGTTACAACTCCTGGGATACATATTTACTCTGGGGCAGGGCATAAAGCATTCTAATACATGATCCCCTTGCTAGAATCCACACCTGTGGGAAGGTGATTGAGTATATAAAAATCATAATAATAAAACCTGTTTAACTCACGAGTACTCGTGATGGGGCTGTCCCTACTCGCACTCGAGTACACCTGACGGCAAGCTTGAGGCTTAAAAACACGCTAACAAAAAGTTCCTCCAACTGGCTTACATAATCACATAATCGACCCGCCTTTTTGGCCCCGAAGTTAGTCTAAAACTTCCGTTCACTCCACGACACCCGACCGCAATCGAATTGTCTCCGCTCCTGGCTCTAAATCATCCCTTCCTCGTGTCTCGCGACAAGGCCAAAAATTCGGTCACAGATCCCATACGACTACGGTACGTGCTTGAGTTTGGGGCTTGGTGATTTACTGGCAGTCCACAGGTCTTGAGGCCTATCGTGGCCCCCTGCCGTCCTGGTCTACTCCGAACTTTCTTCCCTGTTCTTCGCCATGCCCTGACCTCAATTCCTACCCTGCATGCGCGCTCCTCAACGGCAACTACTTCACTCCATTCCGAAGTTCTTCCACCGGTCTGTGCTCGGTTCCGTAGATGAAAGCCATGCACCGCCGGTTCCATCGACAACCCGTGAGGGGCGAGCGGTCGAATCTCTCGTGATAATTGCGGAGACTACCTATTATTCGATAGTATTCACCTAGTACCCCACCCCGCTTCTCGCGCTCCTCCGATTCCAGATTTTACCTCTACGTTTACCGGCCACCAGTCCGTGCCCGGGAGGAGGATCATACCTAATGACTTTTAATTCCAACATGGGAATTTGGAATGGTTCTCTTGTTGGAAAACTAGGGCTAGTACTAACCCCCTTAATCCTTACCCCAATGGATAACCTGTGACCAGCGTGTCTAATCGTGCACTTGAACCTAACGCCCGCATCTACGGAACGGAGCGGTCCTCGATGGTCTCATTATCGTTAACTCAGTCCTATCACAAGCGTCAATTCCTAGGCCCCTGGCAATATCATCGCTAGCGCCTATCTCGATAAGAGGCTTCTTGAGGATCCGGGTCGACCTCTCGGTCAGCTCCTTCCTACAATGGCACTTCAGATGGGCTTTGCTCGAGAATGCGAACCTCCCTCCGCATCCGTATGTGATTGGGAAACTGTGAGTGGTCCGGAGGTCGCTGAATGCGTGGAATTTGAGTCTTCCGGACACTAGTACTATCTAGCAGGGTTACATGAGCTGGAGGATGAGGCTATTCTAATTAATCAATTAAATCTATCCAAGTGCGGTAGTGTCTCTAACATATTTCTTCGGGGCTCTAGAAATCAAGCGTCGCTGTCAGCGACAACCGAAAAAAAAGTCGACCACAACCAACAACCCTGATCGAGCTCGAGCTATCGAACCATTTACACTACAGTTATCCAGATCCTGTCAACTTGAATGGATAATCGAACAGGCTGCAACTGGCAGGAAAATTGATTTAAATATCCTCCAGCCCATCAGAGCGCTCAAGAGATGGGTCTCGGATTGAAACCATTTCCGTATCTCGCCACCCCGCCCAACCAGTCACACAGAACCAATACGGCACCCCACGGCAACTACGGTGGATGGTTCTGCAATGTGGGGAGGGGGGTAAAGGCTCCTTTCGTATAACAATGGTGGTGAAAATATCATAGGAAGCAAAGCGAATTACGGTAACAACAGCCTCTTGCAGTGGTCAAGGAAATGTACATAAATGAGATACATGACTTGTGATATATAAAAACGGCACCGAAAGACCTATCCCTTCCAAGATGGGGATCTCTTTCCCTTCCACTAAGACTACCATAGTAATGAAAACCTTTTCGCCTCCCCTTGGTAATGTCAAACTCTAGCTCACCCGTTTGGTCAAGGAATTCACCTCCGTCAAAAGATTTCCGGAACAGGTGACTTTCACCAATGCCTCGGTCTATTACCGGATCATACAGCACACCACTAAGTCCCCCAAACAAGCAGCACCCGACTGACTACTATGAAAGATAGGAACTTCTCAATTTCGAGTAGCAAATTATGGTTTTTTTTTCTTTTCTGTTATGATATTCAGAAAAAAGTCTTCCAGATAGGTGCCGTCGGGCTAACCTACCACCTACCATAGCCACTGAAGTATCTGCAACACGAAGGGCATCCCCTTCCTTTTCCTCCCCCCTCCAACAATGCTAATAAGGCTCGAATATCGAATGAAGCCAACTCGCCGACATCGAGCGCCAGCCACCTGGCCGTAGTATTTTCCACCCAGAGGCTCCGGAATTTGTTTTGCTCTATACACATCTCAATAAGAAGCAGTGCAGGGGGGCGTATTCTCGGGGAAATGTTGAGAAGACCCATCACGGTTTATTCGTAATTCTTGATAGCACTGTACAAGATACTTATATGGATGGCCAAAGCTTGGGTTTTATGGAAATATTAGTCTGAAATAGATTCTGTGCTCTCGAATTAGTTGAACCTCCGGATCTGCGGGGTGGGGAAAGAAAAAGGGGACAGTTTCTCACTTTGCAGTGGGCCTAATGATGCTCGGAGTTGACTTTCCCAAAATGGTGGTTGGGGGAGCGGGGAGCGCACTTCTTGTCATCTAATATAGTAGTAAAGATACCAGTCTTCCCCATGGTACTTACTTTCCGCCCATCGTCCCACACCCCTCTTGTACCCTCGCGCGTTATGCGTCGACAATTGATGTATCATAAAATATCACTCGTGTTGTATAAGTTTTTGCTTAAGACTGAATACTGGATCAGGACCCACCAGGGTGAATCATTCGGTCATAGATATTACAGAATTTTTAGCCAGAATTCTGGAGGAAACTCACTACACTATCCCAGCCAAGAATATGGTGTTTTTTTTTGGGTGGGGGTAACTACCGGCGATGTGAAGTTGAGTTTGGATATGATGCAGTGGCGATAACTCAACCTACCGACCCAGTGCTCGATTACACCAGTAGAAGAAGGCAGTGGGTGGCAGTTCGTAACCCCCTAGCCCGCGATTACGGAAAATGTGGGAGCGAACCGGGGAACTATCCGGAGCACGCCTTGAGATGATATTTGCAATATCATGGCAACTCCTCGCCCGCACGAACATGATGGATGACCGCCAGCCCAAAGTTTCTACATACACAGACTAATTCCATCATAAGCGCGTGCCCGCAATATCCGAGAACTGATCACTTTTTTTTTAAAGGAAACAGAAGGTGCTGGTAGATTTGGTGAAATTATCATGGTAACGGGGGATAATTCATCGCGGCGGCGGCGGCGGCGGCGGCGGAGATGGCAGGGGGCCCCACGTGCAGCATTCCGCACTCCGGCATCCTTCGCTGCGAGGTTTACGGGTCAGGGCAGGCTTGTAAACATGCTTCGTCGAGTAGGTTTCTGTGAGCCCCTAACTCAACCCCTGCCATTCTTGAAAATCGGAGGGCGCGATCCGCGTCCAGCGGATGTAGTTAGTTGGTGGTGAATTAGCCAGCTTCTCCGCCATGCCTTTGGTAACTTTTTACAGATCCTGTGAGAAGATCCCCTTTCCCCCTCCCTTCTCCCTCTCACACTCCCTCCTCCCCTAGGGCTGCTAGGTGGCAGTCATGGTGGCGGCCACGTACGAAAGGTCCTTTCCCTGGGCAGCGAGAGCAGGAGTGGCGTTTCCCCTGCCGCGGTGAGTCTGATTCCGCACCGGCCAAAGAGCACCACTCCCGCCGGAGCGCGGGGGATGTCCGTATGCTTGATAATCTCACTCTCCCATCCCGTTGCCATCCCACGCCTGCAGACTTCATCCCCGGCAGCTGCGAGGTACTAGACCTGTGTAAATTAGTGTTTCGCCCGGCAGAGTATCACACCCCCTTCACCGGATAGCCCGCTAAGCCCTGATCGAAAAACGGAAAGACTAGCCGGTTGAGGTGCGGTCTAGAAGTCAGAGAAGACACCAGGAGAAACCGGAGATCCGGAAAGAAAAAGACCAGAAATAACCAGTAGGTAGTGCGGATATGATAACCCCGGATAAGACATATCCACTCTCTAATCCTGTGAATTGGTGCGACTGCTGAAGAGAAAGAAGCTTAATTTTTCTACCGCACGCGGAGGTGTGGTCCCCCACGCTAAACTGAGAAACAAAACAACGCAAAAGAAATACCACAAAGCCAAAGTTGGGAATATGAGAACCTCGTAAGGAAGGAAGGATTTGAGATGGCCTCTGAGGAAAAGAGGGCATATGAGGCACCTCAGGCGAACCATGGAAAATGGCTAGTGCCGGTAAGGAAGCAAGTAGTACCATCGCTGACTATGGAATGGTTGTGAAACTGTGAGACGGACGGAGAAGAGATGTAATAAAAAAAAAGCTCAAATAGTGCCTAGCGTTAACGAGAGTGGTGAGGAAAGTACGAAGAAAAAATAGATGAAGGCGCTGAATCCAACAAATCTCTCGAGTGATATTACGTGAAGGTCGTAATATCTGCAGGAGGGACTGTAAAGTTAGCCCCTGCACAGAGAGCGGAGGGTAATTGAGGCTGACTCAAGTTTAGCCGGCCAAAACCTGGCAAGTGTAACCGTGAAAAGGGCGAATATTAGCAGGAGGTGGTTTTTTTTTATAACCCAAATAATTCAACTGTATTCTCACGAGTGTCATGATGTTCTGCTCTCTCACTCACTGGCTGAGTGACTCAGGGACCGATGAGAACAGGTTATTCCCACTTACGCTTTAACACCCTACCCAACGTAGCGACAGATCGAGGTAAAGATTAGTTAGGATGGTTTTGGTTATTATATTATCGGGATACTTACGGATTATGTTTCACCTGTTTAACAGTAGCATTCCGGAAGGGCTGTAGAGAGTGCGGGATCCCCCTCAATGGACCGCACGAGATGTAGATGTTGGAA